CTTAACAAGCACAATAAATATTTTTTTTGTGCATGTTTTCCATAAAAATATATTTGAAATTATAAAGGCAGTCAAAATCAATGATAAAAAGGCATGCTACATAAGTAGTCAGTTTTTCCAATAGGCACTTTTTGCTGGTAGTCAGAACGAAGCCCGTTAAGAAGCCGACATCCCATCATGACTGAAATAACTTCAGAATAGACTACACGATAATAAGTATCACAAACTGAGTCAATACCGATTAGCGAAAGAGTATCAATCTTTCGCGTATGTCGAAATGTTGCGTGATCCGTGGCGTTTACTGTATTTTTATAACGTGACTGTGATGCTGAAGCTTGAATCCTTGTAGAAACAACTCAACTGGCAATTGTATAGAACTTAAATGAGTCACACAAACATCTGAATGCTCGTATCGTCGGAGCGTGTCTTCGTCATCACCCCTAATGCATGATATAAAATGACCTTGGAAGACGTTCTCCGCGTCACCGCATTACACAAGCAATTCGTGAAGATGACCACACACACACACGTGCGCCAAGGTCATACACATGATTTGCATCTGAGCAGGAACTACTTCAATACTCACCTCCAAACTTGATGCTGTGAGCCCCATTTTGATTGCAACTACAAGTGATTATAGCGGCGAGAATATAGGGGTAATCAAGACCCAACGTTCCTTCATCCTCCATTAACCCGTGATATATCTGATGCCATTCAGATCACAAGAAACAATCAAATTTAGCAAACCATCATGGTTTAAGGTAAAGTAAATTAGAAAGAATTGAATGAGGGATACTGTTCACTTTATGAAATATATACGTTATTGACATATCATAATTGATTATACATGCTGTAGTCAAGATGTCATTGGCACCTTGTAGATTATCTGAAAATAAATGCATTATTGTTGGTGGATACACTGTAGTATCTGAAGCCTTCATTGTTGGGTATAAAATATTGACTTTGAGGTGATAGAACAGGCCGTCATATCGCAGTTGTCTCTGCCGGATTGCATATTGAAGATGTCGATAGGTGTCATTTAGCGAATTGTCGCTAGCGCCTTCCAGCCTCTCCGTACTAAATAATTAACACCATTTCAATATTATAACATTAAGTCATTTTCCATCAATTCCAAAGAACATAAAGCACAAGTAAACGAAATAGGTGTAATACCTTTCGGGGTTTTGGTCGCTTACAGTAGTCGTTGCAGAGACCATCAGCTTGTAACGCGCAAAGGTGTCATTGCGGCTTAGTAAAGTTTGGTTAGATATAGTGGGTTGCTTCTGCATGTTGTCTGTCTCATGGCCCCAGTCGAAGTACGTATTTGGATACTCCAGCATGTTCTTGATTTGCGCTCGTCTAAGGGCCACTGCACCACCAAATAATGTATTGTTCGTCAGGCTAAATTAAAGAGTATAACGCATCATGCGGTTTTCAGTGAGGAATTGAAAAGTAACCGTACATTTCGTAAAACGTAAAAGTAGAAGACTAGGACGTTTATCGTTGAACGTATTACATAAAGTAAACAATTCAAATACAATTTTAAACTAAATGACTTATATCCTGAAAAGTTCTTGGCATCTTCTTTACCACCTTCATCGCATAATGAGACGAAATCAGGATCAGATAATTACTTATATCAACTATGAATAAGGTTGTTTTTTTACTTTTATTCGCTGTTTGATCTGTGAATGTTAGTTTAAGTACTATTGAAGCTGGTGATGGAGAAGAGCGTGAGGTCCATCCTCCGCGCAGCGCCTTTCTCTCCATAATCAATCTGGTCGGCTGGAAGCTATTACGGCGCGCTTAAAGGCCGCGGTACGGAGGGTTGCTACCAAACCCTGTCCTCATACCCAGCCTTCTTTTATCTTTCTCATATACCTGAGCTCGATAGCAAGACCGATTCAGGCGCCCGATTTTACCAAGCTAAGCCGCCTACCTAGGCGTTCCACATACGTTCTAGTCCATTAAATATGGTCCAAGTTTACAAAAACAACAATGCCTGTAATCCCATTTGGTGTGTTCTGTGTTAATGGAAGCATACGATCACGGGGCCCTAAAAACGGTTGCCAACTGACGGGATAACTCGGACACC